TCGGGCCACCTGCTCTGGGCCCTGGCCTCCCTGCGCCGCATCTCCGGCCACCCTGGAGCCGTGCCCTCCTGGGCCAGACTCTGCCATTCTCGGTGTGAGCTGTTTCTCTCACCCACACGCTCCTGTGCCCTCTGGGGCCTGGTCTGTTCCCCTCCCCGCACAGCACTTTTTCTGGCCAATACGTCTTCATCTTCAGTATTCAGATGGTGTGTCATCTCCCGGGAGCCCACCTGACTTTCCCACAGAGCTCCCTAGTCGCCCCCCTGATATGGAACCGACCAGGGGCTGTATGATTTGCTTACGGTCCGTCTCAGTCACCTGTGAGCCCGGAAGGGGTAGGGGGAGGCAGCATTAGGTCTTTGTCTGTATCCCAGCTGTCCCCAGGCTTTCTGGCGCCAGGGACCATTTTTGTGGAAGACAGTTTTTCCAAGGATGGGGGGAGGGGATGCTTTTGGGATGATTCAAGTGCATTACATTTATTGTGCACTTTATTTTGATTACTGTTACATCAGCTCCACCTCAGATCATCAGGCATTAGATCCCGGGGGTTGGGGACCCCTGCTGTATCCCACTGGGAACCATGTTCCTGGCCGACAGTTCGGGCTTGATAAATGGTCATTGAGGGAATAGATGGATGAGGAATTAAAATCTTATTTCAGTACATTTTTAAAGTCAGTGTTTTGTTTAGTGTTTAGATGTTTAGAGTGGTTGGCTGCAAGGCAGAGTTGAAACCCGCCCCCCGTGCCGAAGGAGAGTGTGTGTGTAGGTGTGAATAGGTGTGTGTAGGGGATGCTAGGCTGGTGCATGGTGAACAGGTGCTAATGTCACTGCCTCAGTCGTATGCCACGTCCTACCCTCTGTGTAGAGCACGTTGAATTCCCTTCCCTCATCACTTATGATTCGCATTGGAACGTGGCCCGCAGAAAGTCGTCCAGGAGTACGTAGACGTTGGTGGAGACTTCACGATATTACGCTAGCCTGGAGGTCAGGTAGTAATTTCCCTCTTAGTGAAGTAATGATCAGGGTCAGAGTGCTGTGTTCCGGAGAGTCACAGATGGCCAAGCAGATGGTGAGAGCTGAGTGAAAGGGTACACTCAGTAGCTGCCCTGATGATATGGATTACAGTCTTTTGAGACGATTAAAAGAGAATCCTCAGCTTACATTAATTTAGAATTCTAAAGCCCACTGGTTTGATGACTGAGCACCCTTTGGTGCTCTGCCATATCCTGTGTAATGTATCTGGCACACGCTCACTGACCACCTCCCATGCCTGTGCTCAAGGAGAGCCAGCTCTGTGGTTTGACGTCATAGCTGGTGCTTCTCAGGAGTTTCTGTTTTGAGAGGCAGCCCTGTATCAACAAGTTTGGATTCAGAACATCCGGCCTTGAGCCCTGGCTTTGTGCCGTAACTGACCCAAGGGCCTAAGACAGTCCTCCATTTTTTTGCAGTGAGGTGACTGATCTCTAAAGTGGAGATGATAGTGTCACAGTGTCGTCTCCTCACAGGTTGTTTGGAGTTTTGAGATGTCCTTATAGAGAGTGCATCGTTGGCTGTGGAGTACCATGCACATTATTTCTCTGGTCAAAATGAGCACTTATGAGAACCCGGGCATCCCTGGAGAAGGCGCCGCGCGAGAATGGCCTCTGCTAAGGGCTGCTTTTGCGTTCAGTGACCTTCAGACACCCACGGCCTTACCAGTCTCCTGTTTGCTTCTTCCTGGCAAGGTGACCGACTTGACCCCACGGCTGTGAACATCCTCCAGCAGATCATCGAGCTGGGCACCGAGACCCACGACGCCACTGCCGTTGCCTCGGTGGTCGCCATGGCGCCCGGGACGGTGACTGTCCTGAAGCAGGTAGGACCTTGCCCTCCCCGTTAAATACTGTCTCCTCGCGCTGACACACACCCTCTCTCTCCCCCGCCCCCTTAGGTTTTCAGGGCTTTAACCTGTCTAAGGTGGAATTTGGAATGAAATCGGTCTAGTCTCATGCGGTTTCTTCTTATTATCATGGGATTGTATCTGCGGTAGCGCCATATGTGAGGCTGTGTTGTAGGGCAAAGGTGTAGTATATTTCAAAAAGTTCTGGAAACTTGATTCATTTCCTTTCAATGAAAGGCATCCCAGAGTGAAACGAGCGTGATATGGATGCATTTGGACGCATCTATGGTCAAAAGCAGCCTCGGTCCCTAAGGCCGGAGTCTGTGGAGCAGGGCCGCTGGGGGGACAGCCAAGGAGGCCAGGAGGGACTGGCCTCTTAAGTATTAAACATCACTGGACGGAATCAGTGCAGGATGACTGAACTGAGCTGATAGGAAGAAGATGGGCAGTGTTTGAATGAAGGTTACTCTGGTTAATCGTCATACTGTTTGGTTCACTTCCTCTCCTAACCTCAGGGGAGACTTTACCATCTGTTAGGATGCGGCGTGTGTGATAATCAGATCATCCTCTGTATCTGTCTGTACCTCTCTGCTCTCTCCTGCTTCACTGTACACAAGATTTGAGCTGGCTTACACAAATACTTAAAAAAGCGAAAACGACAGAAAGCACATCAGAACCAGGGCAGACCCAGGGTGTATGGTTTAGAAGCAGAGTTCACGTTCACGGAGAAGGTTGAACTGCAGAGCACAGAGTTTTACACGGTTATCCGTCTCTCAGTGATTCACCCAGGAAGCGTGTAGTTAAGTGCCTGCAGTGTTCTCATTGCTGGGGCTCCAGGGGAGAACCGATGTTTGCCATCAAAGTGGTTGCTCTCCTGGGAAAAAGATAAGTAAGACAGAAAGGCTGTCAAATGGTGAACGGGAGCAGTGGAAAAAAGTAAAACGAGAAAGGGGGAGGGGCGAGGGCCGAGGAGCCGGGGTGTGGGGGGCTGTTTTATAAAGGGCTGCTGGGGCAGCTGTCTGACATCTGCTCACAGACCTGGGAGAGGTGGGCGTTACTAGAATGATCCAAGTTCTGCTGTACACTTGGTTCCGAATCTGAAAACAAAAAACAAGAAGGAAGCGTGAAGCAGTTAACAGCGGAAGAGGTAAGTTTTTCTTGGCAAGTAACTAATAATCTCTTAATTCGGCTCTCGCATCCCTGAGCAACATGTCCCCCGCGACCTGCCTTTGATGACTAGGTGGACTTCCCAGGGCTGTCTCCATGACGGTCCCCCCAGGTGTGCCCGGGCCACAGCACAAAGCATGAAATTCAGGCTGAGCAGTTCGCGGGGGAATTAGTACATGCTGGTTCCCCTCTGGATTTCTGGATCCACAGACAAGACTTGGCGCCTCTAGATGAATGTTTGAACCGCGTGGTCTGGAAACCCTCCTCCGTTAGTATGCTTTCTGTCAACGAGACCCTGGACAGAAGTCAGACAGGACAGTAGGAGTTTGATGTTTCAGGCTGCAGGGGCCTGGTGTTCTGCATTGTTTGGGAACAGACTCATACACCTCTAGGCCAGACACTCTTGCAGCTTTTCTTTGTGTTTATTAGACTGCAATCTTCAGACTGTCTTGTAAATCTCTTCTGAAGCTCCTCGTTTGCATCACGGCGTGTGGAGTCCTGAGCTAGACCCGGCACTTCAGGAAGGGTATAGGAGAACTTTGGGTGTTTCGTACATGCCAAATCCTTTAGAGAACTGCAGGGAGGCGCCACTGATTGTGACTTGCGTCTTCTTTCTAGGAAGTGGATTGATTTGCTGTTACTTAGAGACGTGATTTATTGCACGTCGCAGGCGATGCGGTGATACACGAGGTTGCGGGTGAAGGGTACAGCTTAGATGTGCTCTGAGACGCTAGAGTGACAGCGTGACAAGGGATAAGGCAGGTGAGCCTCTGGCGCAGCCAGTGTAAACAAGTGTAAAGTGTTTGCAGTGGCATCTTTCAGTCTCTTGGTTTATTGGACATACAGGGCTGAGAGGAGTGTCACTGTTTAACACAGTCTTGAGTAACTGCATTTGGAAATGTTCCCAAGGACGTGTGTCCTAGTCACTCTCCTGTCCATCTGGTTGGCACCTGGCGCACTGAGGCTGTTGATAAATGATGGATGGGAGATTGGATGAATGGACCGATGGGCGGGAGACATCAGACGCCCACTCCGATGGCAAAGGGATTGCATTGTGTCAGGCTCTCTTAGGTGAAGGGATGCCCTCTGGATTCAGTTGTCTTATTTCAGTTTAAATGTAGCTGTTTTTATTAGAGAAATGAATCAATTTCACCTTTTTTTCTTTTAATTAAACTGTGGGTTAGGATTTTTCAGTAGAGAAATGATATCTGTTTATTGAGTGTCCTTAAGCCACTCAAATGTGGACCCTGGTGCACCTGTTGGGAAGCAGTAATGTTGTTCCTTCACCCTGTGGGGAGCTCTTGGTGTTGGGGACTTCGTCTTTCTCCAGCTCAAGGTCTCACACATCGTAGTAGCTCAGTAAATGTTTATTAAGTAGGATGGAGTATGCTGCGGGCTCTATGTTTTGATTCTCCAATTATATCCTGTCGAAGAAAGAGCAAGAACACATTGTCATAAAGTATGTACTATATATTGTAGAAAAAAATGATTTTAAATTACTATTGGATAGCATATTTTGAGATCTTTTAAAAGTTTCCTATTTTATATCTATCTATCTATCTGTCTATATCTCTTCCAAAAGGCCAAAAATAAATTCTGGGTTGTATGTGAATTCATTCTGGATGTTTAAAAATTTCAAGATTTCTTTCCCATATAAAAAATTAGTTATATGCTCTGTTTATAAATTTTTTCATGATACATTAATGTAAATTGAAAAGAATCTCCCATATCAAAGTTTATCAGTGGTAACTGAAAGTTATTTATTAATCTCCAGTCTTTAGGGGTTCTCATTTTCTGGGATGAAAATACTAACAGGCCTGGTAGGTAGGCTGAGGGGATTGGAAAGCTAAGAGCTGAGGGTGTTTCTTAGGTTGTTTTCTTCTTAGTTGTTAATGAGACATGGGAAGGATTTGGCCCATAATTCAGGCCATTTAAATTTTCAGTTGGACACAGAAATGAGTCCTCAATGATTTCCCATCACTTCTCTCTTTCCCCAAGTGTCAGCATTAAAAATAGATTCATGGGGATGGAGCATTTGGAAATGTTCAGAAAGAAGAAACCTTGCATGTGCCTCACCAGCCTGGCCTGAGAAGTCACATGACAACTTTGAATGCAGCTACTTGCGTGTTTGTTAAGACCAGTTTTCATTAAATAAATTGGTTTCTTTTTTTTTCTTTTTCTTAAAAAATTTTTTGCTTTAGGGTTTTATGAGGAGGAGACTTACATTTGATGAATAAAGCTGCCTAAGTAGGTTGAATGTAAGACGTACCAGCAGAGGGGAAATATTATCACAAGCATCCCTGAGTCAAAATTAGTTATTAAAAGGAAAAGAAAGACCAGTGAAAATAACAACCACCATCACCGGTGGCTCATGGCTTAAGTCACTCTTTGCCGTCCTTGTGGGTTGAAATTTATTTTAGAGACTGAAAGTGACATTTTACTGGAAATTCCCGACGTCTGTTTAGCAGACATTCACTGAGCAGCCGCTGTGTGTTCAGTCCCTGGGGGCGTCATTTCCTATCGCGGCTGCAACAGATCACCACAAACTCAGTGGCTTAAAACAACACAAATTGATGATCTTCCAGTTCTGGAGGTCAGAAGTCTGAAATGGGCTTCACTGGGCTGATATCAAGGCGTCTGACAGCTGCCTGCCTTCTGGGAAGAACCCCTGTCTTGCTTTTTCCGGCCCAGGGGCCACCCAGCATTCCTTCACTGTGGTTCCCTTCTTCCATCTCCAAAGCCAGCAAAGGCAGGCCCGGATCGTCCCACATCCGTCGCTCTGACCTCTGCCTCTGTCATCACATAGCCCTCTCCAAGTCTGACCAACCTCCTCCCTCCTTTAAGGACGCTTGTGCCTACCTTGGACCCACCTGGGTAATCCAGGATTTTCTCCTATCTCCAGGTCATTGACTCAATCACATGGGCTAATGTCCACGTAACGGAACCGTTCTCAGGTTCCGGAGGTTAGGACACGCACTCTTTGGGGTGGGGGCATTATTCTGCCTGCCACTCTGGGTTACAGGGTTAAGACGGTCCCTGATCTCAAAAGGCAAATAATCTAGTGAGGGAAATGCTTTATTTTTTTCATCCAGCGCACAGCCCCCGAGATGCTTCCACCCGCCAGGTTGCTGCTCTCGGTGCTTTTGGGATACTGCAGTGAACAGAGCAGATGAATGGTACGGTTGAGGAGCTTACATGCTAATTTAGGGAGCTAGCTAAGCCCCAGACGTATAATAACTAAGTAAGTAAGAGAGTATGTCAGAGGTGAGATGGAAAACAATGGTCCAGAGGTCTGGAGAGTGTAGACCTTAAGCAGGAAGTTCCAACTGAGAGTAATGAATGGTTCCGGAAGGCTGGTGAAGAGCACTCCGGGGCGCTGGGGGGGTGGCCCAGCCTGGCCCTGGGTCTGGGGTGGCGGCAGGTGCTGGGCCGGGCGGCCTCCGTGGATGCGCTGGTGTGTGCCCCAGTAGAGTCTTGCAAGGTAGCTGGGAGTTGGGTGGGGCAGGGCTCCAGCAGAGGTGGGAGCAGCAGCTGGTGGTCGATGCCGCTGGAAGCGGGGGAGGGGACGATGAGGCACCACCTAGGTTAAATGACACGCCCCGTCCTCACCTCGGGGGCGCAAAGGGCTGGGAGGAGTCCTGGTCCAGGAAGCGCCTCAGCCTGGTCTCTCCCTCCGGCTCAAAGGCCAGTGGAGAAAGCGTGAGTCCAAGCAGCCCACGTCTTCCTGTTGCTTCTCCAAGCCCAACGTCCTTCCCCTATGGGCTTCCTGACCTGTGCGGCCCTCCTGAAGGCCTTGTTGGCATTTTTAA